CGAGGAGAAGGAGACTTGCCCCTCCACTTGGGCTTGGGCGGCGGCGGCGCCTCCCCGCCCGTCCCAGAACCCCGATGGCCGCCCCAGTCTCCGGGATGCCTGGTGGCAGCGAGGGAGCCACTCACTGCTAAGGGAGCTCCTGGCAGGAGCTGGGCGTTTGCCAGCCAGGAGGCTGCCACTCCTGAGCAACACACCACGGGGCTTAGAAGTTCCCTGTAGGAGTGGCTGGAGGCCTCCACCTGGAGGAAAGACACGCTTCCCAGCGCCACTCAGGCGCACCCCCAGCCACGCCCCCCCCCCTCCGGCGTGCATGTGTAGCATGTGTAGCACGTCACTGCAGTAAGCACCGCCATGCGTGAGGAGCCCTCTGCAAATCTCAGAGGACAGCCGATTGCCGTGATCTTACAGGTGCCAGCTGCTTGATGCCCACATTGGTTTGGTGACTGTTTCCCGAGGAGTCAAGGTCCTGGGCTGAATCCAAATCCCTCCTCCACAGGGCAACCTGGTCTGGGCCAGAGGTTCCTTTGCCCCTGGGAAATGGGGGGGGTGGGGGTGGGGGTTGAAGAATGTATGCCCAGGCTCCCTCCTGGAGGAGGCGTCAAGGCTGGAGGCCTTGCTGTCACCAGGTTCTCAATGACTGTCCCCTCACTCTTCAGGCCTGAGATGGTAAGGACAGCTGCCCTACCAGCGCCCAGGCACCATGATGTCCGTTCTCCTCCACAGCAGCTGGGTGAGCAGACCTGCTGTTACACACACTCCTCAGATCACCCGGTCCCAGTGTGCCATCAGGTCACCCAGTCCCAGTGTGCCATCAGAACGCCCAGACCCAGTGTGCCCTCAGGTCACCCAGTCCCAGTATGCCATCAGATCACCCGGTCCCAGTGTGCCATCAGATCTGTGAGCAGACCTGCTGTTACACACACTCCTAAGGTCACCCGGTCCCAGTGTGCCATCAGATCACCCAGTCCCAGTGTGCCATCAGATCACCCGGTCCCAGTGTGCCATCAGATCTCCCAGTCCCAGTGTGCCATCAGGGCACCCAGCCCCAGTGTGCCATCAGGTCACCCAGCCCCAGTGTGCCATCAGTTCACCCAGCCCCAGTGTGCCATCAGATCACCCAGCCCCAGTGTGCCATCAGGTCACCCAGTCCCAGTGTGCCGTCTTTCCTGCCAGGACCCTGGCATGGGCGCCACCAGGGCTGCATTGCTTTTCCGCAGCTGGTTCCCACAACTCCCCGGCCGGGCGACACTGAGCAAGTTGCGCACCCTCTAAGCCTCAGTCCCACTGCCTGTCACTGTACCCCCTCCTGCCAGTGCTTCAGCCCCCCTTTCGTCCTTTACTCTCCTCCCAAGTGGACATCTCCCAATGCCAATCCTGTCTTCAACCTTCCTGGCCTTGGGCGCTGCATTGAGGAAATTCTGCCGTAGAGACTGCCCTGCTTTCATTTCCACACAGACTTCCTGTAGGCAAATCCATCAAAGTGCCTGGACTCTGAAATGTCTCCGGGAGGCCCACTTCCCAGTCCCAGAGAAAAGTATTTTGTACCTACTCTCCCACAAGAGAGGGCACTTCTCGAAGCTGTCGGAGAACAGATGCTGCCAGGGGGTTGTCTACAC